AAGAAGTAGAATTACTAAACGGATCCCTGGCATTGAAGGAGCAGCGAGTAACTCAGTTGGAGAGCCAGGTGGACGCGTTTAAAGAAGAAAGCTGTAGCTTTCAAAATATTGCGCAGAGCATGGAAAGAGAAATAGAGATTCTTAAGAAGGAAAATGTGACAAAGACGACGCAGTTGCATAAGCTAAAATGCGAAACATCACAGACTATTAGTGATCTTAAAGATGACATTGTAAAGTTACAACAAGAAAAGTCTGCATTGTCATCGGAACTATCAAAGGAATCAGAAAAAGGTTACCAGTTGTCTGAGTTAAGATGTGAAAAATCGAAAATTACAGGAGCACTTGAAGATCACATAACAAGGTTGAGGAGAGAGAACCGCACTTTGACTGCAAGAATATCAAAGGCATACGACCAGTTGACTGAACTAAGAGAAAAAGTCCAACTTTTAGAGAATCAGTTAAAAAATGTAACTGAGGCGGCAACGGTGTCTGTGAACAGCAAAGAGAAGGAAATGGAGGAAGATTACCGCATCATAAAGAAGCAAGATGAAACGATAAAAAGTTTAATCGAAGAGATAAGGCAGGAAAGATGTGACAAGTACCGCCTCGAACTACAGTCTGAAAGAATAAGAGAACTTGAGACTCAATTACAAAGAATGGAAGACATGAAAAGAAAGACAATTCACTCAGTGGATGCCTTAGTGCTTGAGGTGAAACAGGAAAGGTCAGAAAAAGACCTTCTGAGAAAAAGAGCCATGGAAGCAGAAGAGGTTGGTTCTTATAGAGAGAAAGAGCTTGAAAAGAGAATTGAACTTCTTGAGAATCATTTACATGAAAAAGATGAGATGACAAACGTCACTCTTGCGTCTCTAAAAAACGACGAAAGTTCACTACAGGAAGCTAAAGCCACTATCGATATGCTCACAGAACAACTGGAACGAGAAAAGTCGGAAAAAGAAGCTCTGAAAAGGGCTGTCGAGGTGTTTGAGTGCAACTCTCAAAACGAAAAAAGGTTGACTGAGGACATCGAAAAACTTGGGAAGCAATTGAAAGAGATGAATGACCTACGAGAGGAGACTCTTATATCTCTTAAAGAGAAAGAATGGTCATTGCATGAGGCTCATGACGAGATCAATGAGTTAACTCAACAAATAGCACACAAAAAGTCGAACAAAAAGTTTTTCAAGTGGAAGGTCAAGGCTAGAAAGGGTAAAGCTTATCGACTGAATCTCATTCAAAAAGGAACAAAAAGATATACACAGGAGAGGGGTTCGTTTATAGCAGGCGTGGGAAAACGGCTGAAGAACCTGGTACAAAGACCAAGAGGAGTGTCCGCATCGAGCTTGGTAATGAAAAAGAAGGAAGCCTATGCAGAGCGAGTGTTAGACAAATTAAGGGATGATTTGAATGAAAGAGGAGAAGTCATTCAAGACTTAAGGAGTAATTTCAAAGACACTGCTGAGGAATTGTCGTCCATGCGACGTCAGCTTGAAGATATTCAGTGCCAAAATGCCGAGCTCATACGGTGTCTTGGAAACAAGGAGGAGGATCTTCAAAAGACGCAAAGATACTTAAAAGAAAACGAAGCCAGCCTTGATGACGCAAATGAAACCCTGCGTTTGAAATGCACGCTTCTCAAAACAATGGAGGCCAAATTATGTCTGACGAAGAAAGAGATTGAAGAATTGACACAAGTCAACAAAGAGAAAGGCTTAGAGATAACTCGCTTTGAGACAACCCTTACAGAAATGAAAAAAGAGTTAGATATTGCTGCATCCATTATCGAGAAGCAAAATGAACGTTGTGCTAACCTTAGAACTTATGCTATGAGAAAGACCCGAGATGCGGGTAAGATGCAAGACGAATTGAAACGCTTCTCAACTCAACTTGAAAATAGCAGGGACGAGAACGCAAACCTACACAGAGCACTGTTAGCTGCTACAGCGCGTCTTACAAGGGAGAAGCATAGGCAGTTCAGTGGGACTGAGTTACCGAAAGATGGACACGAAAGGAAGTCCTCTGAGTCATCATGTGAGGTGAGATATTTCCCTCCCTAAGCGCGAGACGCAAATGGGAGCGATCTTGAAGCACGAGACGATGTACACGAAGAGTACACCATAAGATCCAATTGTCAGCTTTCACTTTCTGCTCTTTTTGGAATTAAATAATGTGCCGTAATTTTGACATGCATATTTTCAAACGTTTAATTCATTTTGTTTTCGTATCATCCATAGGAAAGCACCTCTAGCATCCTGAAAGCCAGGAGACACATAGATGCGTACAAAATAACATTTTTGGAAGACGAGAGTAATGTGGCAGCCACTAGTCAGGGAGACGCTGAAAATAAATGGTCAGTAATATACATTTTTTTTGTTACTAGGATATGTAACAATCATACCATTAGTGCATTTTGGATATGAGATGGTAAATATCCAACGAAATTCGTAGCGCCGAGTTGAGTATCACTAGTCTCATATCCAACAAGCGTCTGATGAGATTATTGTTAATTATTCAATTACATTAATTCCCTCTGTCATCGGATAATTTAGAAATGAAATTGTCTACTACCTTTAATTGCAGGTTGTATACTTCTAGATTGGACGAACATCAGTTTGAAACACGGGGAGATCAACATTTTAACGGCGCCAGTACTATCGCTGAGGTTGACCATACTATGCAGAACTTCTCAACACACGGAGCACCTAATTCAGTTTCGACACTTCTGTGTAATGGTTAAGGAGAAGTTCCGATGCAACAAATTGGCAAACTGAGCCAAGTGCGATGACATAAGACATTTTTTTATCATTGAAAATTTTGGATGCAGTTGAGTTAATCTTGAATTTTATTTTAGAGAGGGTATCCTTCTTACCTTCAAGAAAGCATTCGTGCCCTGACGTTATATTAAGTGTAAATACATTAAAATACTCTAAAAAGATGTTCATTTTTGTTCTGAGTTAGGGAAGGGGACAGTACATAATAAGAAAAGGAGCAATCTTCTTATTACAGCTCACAGGCCCTTAGAAACAAGCCACCCTGATCATTTTGTTTATGAACATGACAATATCGACATTGCTGATGTAACAGTGTGCGCTTGCAAAACATGAACCTAGCATCTGCTTGGCTTATCCCGAAGTCTCTGCTGTAGCTCAGTTT